GAGGCTGGAGATGTGAAACCTTTGGGGGTTGACTTGGTGAAGGATGATCAGGATATGGTAAGAAGCATCTAAACTAAGCTTCTAGCAGCCCAAAGTCGACAGAAAAAATATGCAGACCATAAGGTAAGAGACATGGCATTTCAGACTAAGGAGAAAGTTCTTCTTAAGGTGTCACCCATGAAAAGGGTGATGAGATTCCGCAAGAAGGGCAAGCTTAGTCCTCGATACATTGGACCATTTGAAATTCTCGACTGTGTAGGGCAGTGGCTTATAGGTTGGTTTTACCTCCTAACTTATCGGTAGTTCATCCGGTATTTCATGTGTCCATGCTGAAGAAGTATCATGGGGATGAGGATTACATCATAAAATGGGACTCAATTTTGTTAGACAAAGACATCCAGTATGAGGAGGAATCTATTCCAATTCTTGATCACGACATCTGAAAGCTGAGGACCAAAGAGATAAAGTCTGTGAAGGTTCAATGGAAGCATTTTCCGATTGAAGAAGCTACTTGGGAGACAGAGAGGGACATGCGAGATAAATATCCCAGTTGTTCAACGATTCAGGTACTACTCTACCCTTACTTAAGCCAGTTTTCCTAGTTGATCACTCGAGGACGAGTGATGGGTAAATTGGTATCTATTGTAACGATCTAATTCCATTGTTAGGGAAAAGCCAATAGAGAAAGAATTGAGGCCAGAAAACTTTTGAGTAGTAACTTGGAAATTCCTAGCCTAGTCTAGATTTGGATGAAATCGTAGTCATGAGAGGTCTAGGAAATCTGGTAATGAATAAGAGATCTATTTATTATTTTGATCGCATGAGTAGGTAGCTAAGACATTAAAGAACCCGTATGACTTTACGGATTTGAATTTGGGCAAGTACAACTGTCGAAACTGATCTTAGCGTTAGCGGGTAGTTTTAAATGTCATGGGTTGAAGGTGTGTGAAATGGAGGTTTGAAACTCTTATTCCGATGTTCTGTCTCCGCGCAAGCCGCTAGGGCGGGGCCGCTGTGGCGGGACAGGGTTCGTCGTAGCAGCCCAGTCGCGACTTAAGTCGAAATTAAACTCCAAAAATGTTACTCCCTCCGTTTCACAAAGAGTGACCTGGTTTGACTTGGCACGAAATTTTAGAAAATAAAGAAGACTTTTGAATCTTGTGGTCCTAAATTAAAGTTATGTCAAATGTATTAAATTGCCCTTCAATCTTGTGGCTTTAAACATGCCACGTGGAAAGCTGAAATTAAAATGTTACCAAAAAGGGAAAGGTCATTCTTTTTAAACAGACTAAAAAGGAAAGGAGGTCATTCTTTTTGAAACGGAGGGAGTATTATTCTGCAAGTTTCGTTCTTGAGAGCTAAGAGACGACCCAGGGCTATTTCTTGAAGGTTTTCCACCTCTTCTAGCACTAAAGGTAAGGATTTTACTCCCCTAATCCGTCTTTCAATTCGTAGAACTTAGATTCTTGGGTAATTATTGTTGGGGGAAGGTTTTGATCTGGAATTAATGGTGGAAAAAGCCCTAAATGGCGTATTGGGATCTTAGGATTGGCCTAGGGTTGATAATGTTGATTGTAATCCAGGTAATTACGCCTCGTTTATTGATCCTTGTATTTAATTATTGTTTTAGACCACGAATAAGCGGAAAGATTTCGGAATGGGAAGGATCAAGTGTCTTAGGAGGATTCAAGCTTGATTTCGAGGTAGGTGATGGTTTGATTTCCTGTTTATGTAATGTATGTGGATTGATTGCTATATTGTATGCATGCGTGTATGTGAATCCGATAAAATGTGGAAACGAACCTAATGAAATGACTATGAACAATACATGCCATGAACTTGTGTACTTGACCATATGATTTGAGTATTGTACATTATGGATGTGATTGTGATTGTGGTTGTGATGATTGGATCGGGTGTCATTTTCCGACACACTAACAGTTTGGGTATGGGTTCCAGAGAGGACCATTGTGTTGTTATATCTGTTGCTATTGAGAATGTAGAATTGTACATTGCTCCTGAAATGATAACTGAATTGTGTTCCGTATATGTGTGCTTATTATATTGTGATTGTCTTCGTATATTGTGCTTATGGGGGTAGCCGCGTGATCCTACCAGTACATTGTGGTTGTGTATAGATACTGCACTTGCTCTTTCTTTGTTGAGTACAAGGCATCTTCAGGCAGCTACTGACAGACCTTATTTAGGAGATCACTGATCGAGACCAAATTTCAAGGGTGACAGTTCTTTCAGGCTACCATGGAGTCCTTCATTTTGTTAGTCCATTATTTTCGAACTTAGACTATTTAGTTATTTCTTATGTTGGTTGGGGTTGTACCCCTTATTCTTAGACTTGTTGAACTTTAGATGGTTTGGTACAACGACTTTCAGGTTCTAGGGGTTATTTTCGCATTAGTTGTTAGATGTTAGTTGAACTTCCGGAGTTTATGGGAACTTCGTATTAATTATTTAGTTATTTAAACCTACTTTCGTAGCTTTAAATGCGTAGTATTTGGTTAAATTGCTTAGTTGGGTTGTAGTTATGGTTCTCCCACCGGAGGCTTAATGTGGGTGCCAATCACGACGGTCTGGATCGTGACACTGGGATACTTATGTATCCGACTGACTTGATAATTGGAGAAAAATAAGGGATTTTGAAAATATTTTAAAATGGTAGGAAATAATGGAAATTATGAAAAATATATATATAATTGGAAAAATTACATAAGTGAATGTCTTTTATTTAATAATTACCACTTTTAAGTATACTTTTAATTTATTACCATTTTTGTCAAGTTTTAGCAATACTTACACAATCTTGTTCCTTTAAACTTAGCAAAAAGTGTTGTCATTCGCAACTTTTAGCAATACTACCATTCAGCCAAATTGTTATATATAGTTAAAAGAATAATGTTGACAAATGTCGTAAATATTTTTTAAAAAGTGTACACATAAGTGATTTTCCCTATATAATTTATCGAGAGAGAGGGGGGGGAAGTGGGCCAAAAGCCCAAAAATGCACCAGCAGCCCACTTTTGGACATGAGCAAATTTAGGCCGAAAGGGCACAAAATCAATTTCTCATTTACTCTTAAATTATTTAATAGTGATTATTTATTGTTTATTGTTTATTGTTTACTAACTCTAACTTTAGAATTGTTAATTAACTTAGTCGAATTCCCAAATGGGTGAACTATTTTCTTTTTGTTGGCTTATTTTAATAAATTTTATTTTTCAACTCTTGCTTTCTTAATTTACTTATCCAATGTCTACGGTCAAAACTTTTCACTTATCTTTATTTAATTTAAAATAGTTTTTTGCCTTAATTGACTAAATTGGTTTAAGTTATGATCTTTAAAGCGATTAAACAATTCTTACATAGTCTGTTTTTTAAAGTGAACAACTTGGTTCTTTTCACACTATTACGGATATGAAAATAATGGTCAAAATCTGATTCAGTGTTGCGCGCCTAGGATGGGAGCGCATTTTGGGATGCAGAGGGGTTAGTATCGTCCAGCTCCCTAACCTTTAATCTTAATCTATTATTAAAAGTTTTAATCTTAATTTATTCTTTTTTTAAAAAAAAAAAAAGGGTTCTAGTCACTTTTCATTTATTTCAAATGTTTATGTTACCTTCCACTTTTCTAAAAAAACTCAAAAAAAATAATCTTTACTTAATCATTTTCACAAAGAGTTAGTCAAATATCTTTCAAATTGTTGGATTACCGCGCGTTAGCGGCTACTTTAAGTGTCAATATCTTCTTAAAGTAGAAATAAGAAGTTATTGCTCATTTTCTCTAAATTTATGAAGACTTTCTTTTTAAATGAAGTTTTCTTAATTTTTTTAAAAAATTAAGTGGAGACTCTTTTTAAGTATTTTTCCTAAATTGTTTTACACTTGGAACATTTCAAAAAGTGGATTTTTCTAAAGATAGATATATCGCAACGTAATACACATTACATAAAATAGTCATTTTCTAAATTTCTTAATATTCAAAATTTTGAAATCAATTAAAAGTTTTATTATTATATATTTCCTTATTTGATTCAACTAAGTCCTAATATTTAAAAATTGGATAATTTTAGAGAATTCTTCTCAGGTTTTGCTCCATAACACTAACCTCTCTCGTGGTATAGAATATTACACTTAGCTTTCTTAATTTGATTTATTTATAACTATATTTCCTTTTATTTATTATTAATGTAGAAAAATCATAAGTTGACTAATTTACCCTCACCAAGATACTTTTCCATTTACGTAGCTATTTTTATAAATATCATTTACTATTTCTTTGTTTTTAATTTATTAAATCAATTAATTATTAATGCTTACTATAAAATAAAGAGGAAATGTGAACATATTCCAAGTTCCAACCGTACACTACTGCTTTTTCTTCCATCATACGTATATACTTTTTCTTTAAATTCGGAACGTGTAATAATTCAGTCTATTGTTCAAATATAACCAATGTTTACTTCTTCTTTTTTGTCAATTTATCCAAGTTTCAACATATCATTCATGAAATTGTAGTTCAATCAAATTTTAAAACAAATTCATTTTGTTTCTTTCAACATTCTATTTTAATCGATCAAGTTAAAAATCATCAGACGTATCACAAAGCTACTTTCAACTAGAAAGATGAAATTGTTCAAATAAAAAAGTGATTTCACTTAACGCGAATTATGGTGATTTTTGAAGAGAACCACTGAAATTTGAATATTAAATAGTGCAAATCAAGAAATGGTGGTAAACATTACCGTGACTTTTGAAAAAAAATCCTACATAAAGAATGACTTCTAAATTGGTACAAACTTATCATTAATATTGTGAATTAGAAAAGAAGATTTTAGAAGCTAAAAGACATCATGCACAAGTTTTGAACATCAACTAGACAATATATACATATATATTTTGCCGATAATTCAAATTCAGTTCAGAAATTAAGTCAAGATAGAAAAAAATTACAGAAACAATTAATATAAGTATAATATTGTTTCTATCTACAGGAGATCTAAGTGATGAGGGATTGTGGAGGGAATCCATTTGTCACCGTTTATGAAATTTCTGACTGTGAAATTTGATACGATTCGAGGATCATTAGTAGTTGATGCCCACTTTACACGCCTCTTTGTATCTGCAACAACTCCTTTATTCTGATATTCCAAATAGTATGGCTGGACTATGGACTTTCCTTCAAATTCTATCCACCCTCTTGGATTTATCAACATATCTATGTAACTTTGCATAATTACGGTACGTGAAAAATTTCCCCATGGCCAACCTAAGTACATAGCTACATTGTCCCCCGCATCTGGAGTTGCTAATCTCAATGTGCAATTTTGCAATACGAGTCCGGTTGCTCCATTGTCACTTCTTTGTTGTGCTGTGATGGCGATGTATTGACCTTTCAGTGGCTTACGTACTTCAATTAAACAACTTTGAAATATCGCAGTTGCATCACCACAAATGAAGTCGATGGTGCCCAAAATTATACATTCTCTGTAGAACTGTTTGCCATAGTGTGTATATATGGTGTCTTGAAAACCATCAAATTGACACCTATAGAAGGCAGTGAACTCGGCAGATGCCCTTAAAGCTACCGCTTGAAAGTTAGCAGCTCCAGCTGTGTTCCGAAAAGCAATATCTTGTGTCATGAAGCCTTTTCCATCCACCCCTTAAAAGCAAACAAAGAAACAAACGTCAGAGCGATGATATATATATTACGTAACTTAACAAGAAAAATAACATCTATTTTTATGGTTAATTTTGAGTTATATATCTAATCAACTTACCCACAGTAGCAGTGTCGTACGTCCCTATTCCACCTCCATAACTCTTATTTCCTGATATTATTGTTTTGTCCATTCCTTCTCCGATGAAAACAATGTTCATTTTCCATGAGTCAATTTGGACATATTCTTCGTAGATTCCTTGTCGGATTTGAATAAAATATTGTGCAATACTATTATTCGGACTCACAAATCCAGCTGCCATTATAGTGTTATAGTTTCCCGATCCATCCTTGGCTACTATAACATTAGGAGGATGTGAAATATTTTGACATCCTCCGCATTGTAATATAAATAGTAATAAAATAACGATAGCCATAAATTTTACGATATGAGAATTGAATAAACGCAAAAAGGCAATAATTTGATTTTCTTCGAGTTGGCTCATTTTTTTAGCAAGAAATACAAAAAAAAAAAAAAAAGATAGAGTATATGCTTAAGTGTTGTGCATGCATTCAAGCTATCAAGATTATTATGTATACTAGATATAGGACCCCGTGCCAGCACGGGGCCCAATATATATATATATATTTTAATTTTAATTTATGTCATATTATGGAATTTGAGAAGTTATTGAAATTTTTATATGATTTTAAAAATATTTTAAATTGTTAGCTATTGTGATTTGTAGTACTTTTTTTAACATAATTTTGAAAATAATATTTATTAATCTAATTGTTCTAATTTATGTGGCAGATGCATAATTTCAAATATTAACCCTTTTTTATATGTCTCTTTAATATATTAAGTTGTTAATTATTGTATTTTTTAGTACATTTTGAACCTAATTTTTTAATAATATATGTTATTTGCCATGTCCCAATTTATGTGGCATTAATTGATAGATTTGTTGGAGTCGAGAGATTTATTTTATTAATTATTGTAATTTATAATTTGTTTTTCGTCAATTTCGTCAACTATTTTTTTTTATTAATTATTGTAATTTATAGTTTCTTTTTCATCAATTTCAAACAATATATGTTAACAAACAGAGTAATAAATATTTTTTTCAAAATTATGTTAAAAAAAAGTACTACAAATCACAATAGCTAACAATTTAAAATATTTTTAAAATCATATAAAAATTTCAATAACTTCTCAAATTCCATAATATAACACTTAAATACTACATATTATATATTAATTATACTATACTATAAATGACTTAAATACTCCATATTATCTATTACAATAATTAACAATTATTTGACACTTTAAATTCTATCAATGCCATATAAATTAGGATAAAAAACCTAACATATAATATTTAAATATATTTAAAAATAATATAAGTAATACTATACATTACAATAATTAACAGCTTCATTATTTAAAACTTATATACAAAATTTAATTGACTCTCTAAATTCTATTGGTACCACATAAAATGGATTATATGATAAACATATATTGTTTGAAATTGACGAAAAAGAAACTATAAATTACAATAATTAACAAAATAAATCTCTCGACTCCAACAAATCTATCAATTAATGCCACATAAATTGGGACATGGCAAATAACATATATTATTAAAAAATTAGGTTCAAAATGTACTATAAAATACAATAATTAACAACTTAATATATTAAAGAGACATATAAAAAATGGTTAATATTTGAAATTCTGCGTGTGCCACATAAATTAGAACAAACAGAGTAATAAATATTTTTTTCAAAATTATGTTAAAAAAAAGTACTACAAATCACAATAGCTAACAATTTAAAATATTTTTAAAATCATATAAAAATTTCAATAACTTCTCAAATTCCATAATATAACACTTAAATACTACATATTATATATTAATTATACTATACTATAAATGACTTAAATACTCCATATTATCTATTACAATAATTAACAATTATTTGACACTTTAAATTCTATCAATGCCATATAAATTAGGATAAAAAACCTAACATATAATATTTAAATATATTTAAAAATAATATAAGTAATACTATACATTACAATAATTAACAGCTTCATTATTTAAAACTTATATACAAAATTTAATTGACTCTCTAAATTCTATTGGTACCACATAAAATGGATTATATGATAAACATATATTGTTTGAAATTGACGAAAAAGAAACTATAAATTACAATAATTAACAAAATAAATCTCTCGACTCCAACAAATCTATCAATTAATGCCACATAAATTGGGACATGGCAAATAACATATATTATTAAAAAATTAGGTTCAAAATGTACTATAAAATACAATAATTAACAACTTAATATATTAAAGAGACATATAAAAAATGGTTAATATTTGAAATTCTGCGTGTGCCACATAAATTAGAACAAACAGAGTAATAAATATTTTTTTCAAAATTATGTTAAAAAAAAGTACTACAAATCACAATAGCTAACAATTTAAAATATTTTTAAAATCATATAAAAATTTCAATAACTTCTCAAATTCCATAATATAACACTTAAATACTACATATTATATATTAATTATACTATACTATAAATGACTTAAATACTCCATATTATCTATTACAATAATTAACAATTATTTGACACTTTAAATTCTATCAATGCCATATAAATTAGGATAAAAAACCTAACATATAATATTTAAATATATTTAAAAATAATATAAGTAATACTATACATTACAATAATTAACAGCTTAATTATTTAAAACTTATATAAAAAATTTAATTGACTCTCTAAATTCTATTGGTACCACATAAAATGGATTATATGATAAACATATATTGTTTGAAATTGACGAAAAAGAAACAATAAATTACAATAATTAATAAAAAAAATTGTTGACGAAATTGACGAAAAACAAATTATAAATTACAATAATTAACAAAATAAATCTCTCGACTCCAACAAATCTATCAATTAATGCCACATAAATTGGGACATGGCAAATAACATATATTATTAAAAAATTAGGTTCAAAATGTACTATAAAATACAATAATTAACAACTTAATATATTAAAGAGACATATAAAAAATGGTTAATATTTGAAATTCTGCATGTGCCACATAAATTAGAACAAATAGAGTAATAAATATTACTTTCAAAATTATGTTAAAAAAAAGTACTACAAATCACAATAGCTAACAATTTAAAATATTTTTAAAATCATATAAAAATTTCAATAACTTCTCAAATTCCATAATATAACACTTAAATACTACATATTATATATTAATTACTATACTATAAATGACTTAAATACTCCATATTATCTATTACAATAATTAACAATTATTTGACACTTTAAATTCTATCAATGCCATATAAATTAGGATAAAAAACCTAACATATAATATTTAAATATATTTAAAAATAATATAAGTAATACTATACATTACAATAATTAACAGCTTAATTATTTAAAACTTATATAAAAAATTTAATTGACTCTCTAAATTCTATTGGTACCACATAAAATGGATTATATGATAAACATATATTGTTTGAAATTGACGAAAAAGAAACTATAAATTACAATAATTAACAAAATAAATCTCTCGACTCCAACAAATCTATCAATTAATGCCACATAAATTGGGACATGGCAAATAACATATATTATTAAAAAATTAGGTTCAAAATGTACTATAAAATACAATAATTAACAACTTAATATATTAAAGAGACATATAAAAAATGGTTAATATTTGAAATTCTGCATGTGCCACATAAATTAGAACAAATAGAGTAATAAATATTACTTTCAAAATTATGTTAAAAAAAAGTACTACAAATCACAATAGCTAACAATTTAAAATATTTTTAAAATCATATAAAAATTTCAATAACTTCTCAAATTCCATAATATAACACTTAAATACTACATATTATATATTAATTATACTATACTATAAATGACTTAAATACTCCATATTATCTATTACAATAATTAACAATTATTTGACACTTTAAATTCTATCAATGCCATATAAATTAGGATAAAAAACCTAACATATAATATTTAAATATATTTAAAAATAATATAAGTAATACTATACATTACAATAATTAACAGCTTAATTATTTAAAACTTATATAAAAAATTTAATTGACTCTCTAAATTCTATTGGTACCACATAAAATGGATTATATGATAAACATATATTGTTTGAAATTGACGAAAAAGAAACTATAAATTACAATAATTAACAAAATAAATCTCTCGACTCCAACAAATCTATCAATTAATGCCACATAAATTGGGACATGGCAAATAACATATATTATTAAAAAATTAGGTTCAAAATGTACTATAAAATACAATAATTAACAACTTAATATATTAAAGAGACATATAAAAAATGGTTAATATTTGAAATTCTGCATGTGCCACATAAATTAGAACAAATAGAGTAATAAATATTACTTTCAAAATTATGTTAAAAAAAAGTACTACAAATCACAATAGCTAACAATTTAAAATATTTTTAAAATCATATAAAAATTTCAATAACTTCTCAAATTCCATAATATAACACTTAAATACTACATATTATATATTAATTATACTATACTATAAATGACTTAAATACTCCATATTATCTATTACAATAATTAACAATTATTTGACACTTTAAATTCTATCAATGCCATATAAATTAGGATAAAAAACCTAACATATAATATTTAAATATATTTAAAAATAATATAAGTAATACTATACATTACAATAATTAACAGCTTCATTATTTAAAACTTATATACAAAATTTAATTGACTCTCTAAATTCTATTGGTACCACATAAAATGGATTATATGATAAACATATATTGTTTGAAATTGACGAAAAAGAAACTATAAATTACAATAATTAACAAAATAAATCTCTCGACTCCAACAAATCTATCAATTAATGCCACATAAATTGGGACATGGCAAATAACATATATTATTAAAAAAATATTTAAATAATTAAGCTGTTAATTATTGTAATGTATAGTATTACTTATATTATTTTTAAATATATTTAAATATTATATGTTAGGTTTTTTATCCTAATTTATATGGCATTGATAGAATTTAAAGTGTCAAATAATTGTTAATTATTGTAATTGATAATATGGAGTATTTAAGTCATTTATAGTATAGTAATTAATATATAATATGTAGTATTTAAGTGTTATATTATGGAATTTGAGAAGTTATTGAAATTTTTATATGATTTTAAAAATATTTTAAATTGTTA